TCTGGGTTATGGAGCTCTTAGCCTGCCTCTTTCATTTTACGTAGTTTAGAAGCATGGCCCAGCCTCTCAAGAACTCATGGTACCTGACATGGCTCTATTTCTAGGGATCTCTGCGCACCAGATTCCAGCAGAGCACTGAAGGTCTCAGTACCAGGTCTTTCCTCCATTGCTTCCTCAGGCATTTCTTAGCTGCTACAGCCAGCCTGCTGTCTTCAGAAATCAGCTTGGAAGTATTTAAACATGTAACAAAACAGGGAGAAGAACTGATATGTGAAAATAATTGACTGATTTGTGTAAAAATTAGGAGAATGAGAAGATCCCTGACATATTTGTCCATTACAATCTGCTCGTTGTGGTAGAGTGAAGCTCTGTCTTTTTCCCAGAGCTGTGTGTGATGCTGAACACACATGGGAATTGCTCAGGCCAACAGCAATCTACTGAAGAATTTGTTTCTGTAGAATCTCTGAATTTGTTACACATGTGAAAAATGCACACTTCATGTTTGGCTTTTCACAAATATTACAATGAATATTATCTGCGTATTGTTAGAAAGTTATGCAGTATTAGTTCTGTAAAGTTGTGTTTTAAATATATTTTTAGGTTATAACGCAATGTTAAAATAGAAACTATGCTATGTAAGATAGTTTTTAACTAGCTCAAGAAAGAGGTGAGATAATCAAGAAATTCTTTGCACAGAGGTAACAGTGAAATGAAGCTATAGAGGTACGACCTCCTTATCAGAGAAGACAAACATTCTTCCACCTTCTCTCTCTCTTTATGGAACCACCAGCATTAAGGGGAAGAAGCTGACAAAAATCAGAAAAGTTCTTAATTTGCAAAAAATGTATGCATCGTGTATGAGATGTACTAATTGCAACAGGCTATTGCTTTTAAGGTTTATTCCTTTGTTCACAAAACATGTTTTTGGCAGTTTAGTGTCCAAAAATATCCAGATATCTGTAACTGTTTGTTTTTTATTGTCTTATAATTTTCCTAACTCTGAATATTTATTACTCTAATTGTATTATTATTTTTATAACAATTTTATTATTATTAAACTTTTAAAATTTTAAAAAACAAGTGATTGGTATTTTTCACATACATTTCCAGTAATGGTCAGCAATTCCTGGAAGGGGTGGTTATTCAAGAAATAAAAAGTGAAAGCATTTACTTTTTCCTGTGTTTGTCTGCTAAAAAAAGTTTGTTTTTTTTTTTCCCCCTTGAATATATTTAACAGCTCGGTTTAGTCTCAGTTGCTGTGGTCAAAAGATTGCTTAAAACATCTTTTGCAGGATTTGGAGACACTGGGATGCCGATTCATGTTTAATGAGTTGTTTTTTATGTTTTTGCAATGAGTCAGGGTAAAGATCTTTTACTTTCAGGCTTAGTTCAGAATTTGAAGATACCATCACCGTGTGCTGCGCTCAATATCTCTACAGCAGCAGGCCAGGCTCAAAAGGTAGGATTTTCAGGAAGTGCTGGTTTAGGAGCCAGATGCTGCTCGTGCTTACAGGATGTGTATGGACCAGTGATGAGATGGCCCTCCTTTGCAGATGGACTCAATAGCTTGAGTCCCTGTCTGTCCACCAGCTGTTATTGAAATAATGGATGGACTTCTGGCCTGTTCAATCAATGAGGTGATGTCTTCTTGCACACTGTTGTTTGTGAAGTTGTGTTCTTTAGTCTGTCTCAGTGCGGGAGCACCTTGTGTTTGGATTTTCTCCAGTGCTGTTCTCATATTTCTTCTGAAAGGTTGCAGTTCATAGAGAGCTGTTGCTGTACAGTTGAGACAGAAGAAATTGTCACCTCACATTCCTGTTTGTCACCATATGATGGCCACCATGATAAAGACAGCTGCAGGTAGGACATATCTCTGTATCTTCCCAGGTGGGTTTGGAATGTGCTGTGTGGGTGGGATTTTGTGCCATGTCCCTGCACGTGGCAGAGGTGTTCCCTCTTTCCTCAGGGAGAAGCTGTAAGGGGCAGTGAGGACAGCTCAGTGGTGGGGCAGGCTGGGTGCTGGTGAGAATGTCTCCTGTGTGGGCATTTGGGAAGAGGCTGATTTTTCTCCAAGTGGAATAGAGAGTGCAGGGATAGAAGGGCTTTGCTCTGTTCACTAGTGTTCTCTGCAGGACTTAAATTAGAGTAAATATGACAGGAGATCATAGAGATACCTGTAAGAGTTTAGAGAAAATGAGTGCTCTTTGCGAAGTCTTTGCGAGGTTTGAGTGTGATGCTCCCATCCAGAAATAAGCAGGACCCACTCTGCTATGGCAAGAACCTTGTTCAGTCAAGCCAAAGAAGCCCAAATAGATGTTAATTCTGTGAGTGGAAATTTCCTTTGGGGGAGTTATGTGGGGAATGAAATGGTCAGTAATTTAGTATGTAAAAACTACTTTCAGTTTCTTGATTCCCAGTAAGTTTCTGCTTTATCTTGAGGCTGATTAATGAGTTCCAGATTTGCTTGCCACAGATTTGTACACCACCAGGCAGCAGTGTGATTACCACTTTCCTTATGGCCTGGCTGTTTTTTAAACTTTAATCAACTGCACTTTGAATGTGGTTACTAAGGAGTGTTTTATTTATCCAGAGAAACCAAGGGTAGTTGCTCACCTTTGCACTGTGTTGTAGTTACAGAGTTTATGGTAATTGGGAGTGGGGCTGTGGCCAATCCTCATCCCTAATGAGCTCCAGCTGCACAGAACAGGTGAGCAGCATTGGAGGCAATGAGACACGGAGTGCCCAGGTGGAGTGGCCAATCACCAAAGGGAACAGGGGGCACACAGGTGTAAGGGGTGTAAGGTGAAGGGTATAAAAGGTTGTGCAGGAGGCTGGGAAGGGGTAGATGCTTGAAGCCTTCTAGAGCTGTGTGTTGTGGTTTTGTCTGTCACGGCTGAGTTAACTGTGGCATTTTGTGACCCCGGCGTCGTAATTTCCTGTTGGTCTGTAGAGCCAAAAGCTGCTGGGGACAGAGACCTGTGTAACACTGAGAGCAGCCAAGAGGAGTTGTCTGGTACAGGCCTGATTGATTTGGATACCCAGAGTACAGGTGAGCCACTGGGACATTATGGGGAATATGTTATCAAGTGAGCAACAGCTTGGCTTAACTATACAGAAAGCTTTGTTGAAGAGTAACAGCATTGAGACTTCTGGTTATGCCCTTTGTCATGTTTTACTATGGGCAAGGTCTCCAAATGTTGAGTCTGCTGCAAGTACTGCTTTTAATGTTAGGGCATGGAAAGAGGTTGGGGGAAGACTATGAGATGTGGTACCAAAGGGGACAAGGTGGCTGCAGATTTGGATACCACCTGGGCATTGCTCTATGAGACTTTGAACGAGTGGAAAACAGAGCAGGAGAAGAGAGGGCAGGAGGTGGAAGGAGAATCAGAGCCTGACGAACTGAGCAGGTGGGCCAAGAGCCTTAAGGCAAACCAGGCAAACCAAGAGCCTGAGAATCCAGAGGAGTTATATCTAAACAGGCCTGAGGACCTGAAAGAAATGTAGGCAGACCTGAGGTCCTGAGTTTGGATGACTTATGACACTCTACCCCCATGAAGAAGGGTGCTGGATATGAGGAGTGGACATTTCACACTTTGCTTATTTGGTAGGAAAGAAATAGAGTGAGGCTGAGCACTTTGCTTATTTTGAAGGAGGTGGCTTGGGAGCTAACATCCCACCTGCTTTCATTAATTGAAATATGGGAGTCCAGGGAAACTCCAGATGCCTGAAGTACAGAAAGGTGTAGATCAAAGCAATGGATCGATGAGGGTTTCCTGGTATGCTGTGGAGATTACAGAAGAGAAGTTAATTTAGGAATAAATAATATAATCTTCTGCAGATATGCTATGGAGATTAGAGATGTTAATTTGAGGAGAAATAATATAATCTTTTGCAGATAGTGTAATCTGCAATCTGAAATGTGAGATTGTCCTGAGTTTTCATGGGAGGCATTTAAGGAAGTGATGCAAAACTTCCAGCCACTGGAAAGCTGTGTGAAACAGACATGTTAAAAACTAATGAAACCCTGGAACCTTTTCTTCCTTCCCGCCTGGGAACAGGTAACAAGGCCGACCCGGGCCCCTCTGCAGGGAGCCCGCCGGGCTGTGCCCTGGCCGGGTCCCAGCAGCTGCCAGGCATGGATGGGGAGGCTGTGGGTCCCTGGCCGAAGCAGGGCCGGGCTGTGGCTTTTAACATCTTGCCACCAGGTCCCCTCCCTCCCTGCAGCACAGCTGCTGCATGAGATCATGTGGCTGAGACCAGAGGCAGCCCTGCAGTCCGTGCAGAGTGGCCCTGCAGCTGGAATTGAATGCAGAGAAAACCAAAGACCAGCCATGAAGCCGATCCTGACACAGCCCCAGCCACAGCTCACTCCACAAGCCCAGCAGTAGGTTCGGTGACCATCTGTCCTAGGTGAGGTGTTAAATCTTTCAGTAATTCAGTCCTCCTTCGAGTGAAAGGAAGTAAGCATGTAGAGGAGCAATCTGGAGACACCAAGGTCAGTGAAGAAGTTAAGTCCCAGATGAGAGGGATGAGGAGATGCCTTGATCTTGGGGCTGAAATCCTCTTGTAAAGCTATGGAGAAAAGATTCTGTTTCCCTGTAACACATGAAAGCATGGGGAGATGAGGAGTTCAACTTGATATCGAGCAAAGGCCTGCCAAAGTAAGCAGATGTTAAAGTAGCTGTGATCCAATGAGAAGTTTGAACAGAGAAGGAGAGAAGAGTGATGAGACCCTGTGCCTCCAGGAAGAGAAGATCTCTGTTCCCAGAGATGAAGAAGGCACACTCTGCTACTGTGCCACTGCTGTGTCATCAGCCTGCCAAGAACCCAAAAGCAACACTGGTGAAATGGTGAACTTGGATGTTTCCTTTAGACTGGTACAAAAATGAATGGAGTAGTGAGAGAAATCAACTATTTGATGAATTTCCTGCTGTGCCTCTTTGCAGCTATAGTGTTTATGTGGTCCCTTCACAAAAGCCAGACCTTTCTTCACTGTCAAAAAAATTTGGATCCTGCAGTGACATGGGTGATTTGCAGTCAGCCATCTCAGTGCAAAAAAAGCTTTCTCTGTTGCAGTAGTTAATTTTTAATATGACAAATG